TTCTGAGATTTCATCGTAAGGCAGCCAGGAGATCGTTATGCTTCTATTGTTGCTGTTGCTACAGTCGATGCTGTCGTTCCGTACTGTTATTACATTCTGGCTTTACCGTTTAGTCTGCAGGCAGTTGTCAGAGTTTTTTCTTAATACTTTGGTTCTTTCAGGAGACTGTGGCAGTGTTTCAAGAAGTGTTTCGCGCAACTGATAAACAACGGTTATGTTGGCGATAGCATGAGGAGATCAATTATCAAAAATGGAAACGGTTACTAACAGGAAGCGAAAAGCGAACCAGAATTAGAGCATCAAATGACTGTATCCGTAAATTTCTTCAAGACTTCAAGGTCTCTTTTTTCCACTTTTTCTTATTGCTTGTATTCAGCTGCCGTTTTTGAATGGAAGGGTTATATATATATAGATATTTCTTTATCTGTGTTTGAGTTTTGTCTATACAGGAGGAAAGTGGGCAGTCATAAGATCAATAAATACCAACAGTTCTGATCGCTCGCTCTTTCGTTGGTCCAACAAACAATATAAATTTTTTGTGCAATTTTTTTTTTTCTTATTGCTCTAATTTCCTTCGCTTTCTCTTACCCAAATTTATCCTCGCCTCGTCTCGTCTTCACAGATCAGAATTTTAAACGTATTTTGAAAATTAAAAAGAAAAATCAACAAATAATGTCGTCGAAATGACTTTTTTCTACGTTGCTTTTCCTTTTATTCACTTTTCTTAGATCAAAAAAAAAAAAATGAGAATTAAACTGACAAGAAATTTCTATTTATTCATTTAATATTTTTATTGGTTTTTTTTTTTTTTTTTTTGCTGCTGGATTCTGAGTTACAGACGAATTTTTTTTGATGGAGATTTCAAGCTAAAGAAGTATTCAAAAAAATCCCGATCTTTTTTCCTTGCAGCGGATAATATAGCTATATAGTTTTAATTCATCACTTTTTATTCGTTGTTATTATACTACTCTACTCAAATTTGTTTGCTACCAATTGTCTCTCAGTCAAAGTTATTTTATGTTTTATTATTTTCGGCTTTTTTCCATTTTTTTTTTCTATTCACTTTTTATTTTTCATTTTATTAT